AAAAAGAAACCTTTATAGATGTGGAGGAAAAGTACAGTGATTCCTGAGTGGGAAAAGATGAAAAACACAAGTTGGAATAGTATAAATAGAGTATGAACTCCACATATAAATAAAAAGTGAAATGTGAGAGACAAACAGCAGACTCTGATAGAGGGCTGGAGAAGCCACAGCATTGCGGGATGTTTGGATGGGTTTCAAGAACCCCTGAACATGCTATGAATAGCCTTTTCCTTTCAAATGAATAATGTGTTGCGGGGAGAGAACTAAATCATCCTAATGAGTAGATCTATGAATACGAGTCCAAAAAGAATTATATAATGCACAGGAAAGTAATTATCCCTGGGGCAGTAGGTTATCTAATATTGGGTATCTGCACTGGAGCAATTTTCCAAATTGAGCAGTGAGGCCCCCAAAGTCTACCAGAATAGTAATAATTCCTGATAAGATTATTCATCTACAGGCACAGCATGGTGTTCTGCAGCAGCTTCTCAATGAATTCTGCTCAGAGCACTGACATGCAGCACATTGCAGTGTTTCCCCGTCACATTATTATTTTTTCACTCCGAGGGGCAGTAAGGTCTCTGAAATGGCATTTTTGAAACGCTGGAATGCCATTAAAATCAATACAAATAAAATGTTTACAAGCACTGTATAGGGCTTGTGTTTTTTTTCTTCAGTGGGGTGACCCATTCCTCCTCCTCCGGGAAAACACTGGTGCTCTCAGAGTCAAAAGAAATCCTCCTCAAGCGTTCGTCTCCATGCACAAAAGATTTCATTTAAATGATTTATGTGCAGCACAGGGGAACAGCTTTTGATAAAGTTGCGCTCTTAATGCTAGAACACATCACCTGGGTTTAGAGAGGATGAAATGATTCATATGTTAATTTTTGTCTTTGCTTACAGTGTTTTCCTCACTTTACTGTGTGGAGTAAAGGAAAACAAACCCACCAAACTGACATGTCTTTATGTGATAATCATGGGATGGGACGCACCTTTAGTGTTTTAGCGTTTCATTTGTTTTAGGGACATGGGATAAAATATTTAGTGAACATACTTAAATTAACATACTGTTGACTTTAATATGATTTGAGTGGAAAATAAAACAGCACGAGGCTGATTTATTTTTAATGTAACACATTAAATGCTAGAAAGTGTTGCCTGCTGTTGTCAACACGTTTATCTTTGTACACAGTATGATGGAGGAAAGGGAACTGGACCACTGTATCACATAAAAACTTTTTTTTTGGCCCTAAATATCCAGTATTTGTCACTCTAATTTGCTCCTTTTTTTCCATGCTAGTCTAACTAAGTAAATGTACTAGATACATGTACTTTATAGTTTTATTTCACTAGCTAGAGTTTTAAAAAAGTAATGTAAAACTTAATATTTTTAAATACTATTACTATTAATCCTACAAATAATAATATTGACAATAATGAATCTGAAGATACATGCACTTTATAGCTAGTGAAATAAAAGTAAAAAGAATAAAAGTAATTTTATTAAGCTGAGAAAGGACCAGAACATACATTAGTATGATTTATTATTTTTATTATTAACCTAGAGAACTACTATATCAAGTTTAAGGCTCGTTCGATTGGCTACAGGGTTGAACTTCACCTCCCAGAGTGCACCGCGGTAGGGCTCCTCGTCTCCCATTGGTCTCGCTCATCGAGCAGCGGAGGCAGACATGAGGCAGTGGTGAGAGCCCGGCGGAGAGCTGCGGAGCTGAAATGAAGCGCACACACGGAGCAGCTCACACCGCGCAGCACCGTGCGGCTCGAGGAAGGTAGGCTCCGCGCCGCTAAAGCTGAAGGCTGCTCCGGCTGAATGAAGGGCTCCGTCCATGCGGAGGCTAGCGCTCATTCTGCTTCCCTGTGCTGTCGCCGTCCTGGTGCACTTGTGGTTGGCACAACGACCCTCCTCCGCCCCGCTGGACAACAACACATACTCGGGTACTTTTTTAGCCACTACCCCGGGATTTTACCTCCTCAGCTTCGCAACTTTGTTTCCTTTCGAGAGGCTGGTTAACTTTGCCTTTACCGCCCCGGTGTGGTAGTTTGCTAGTTAGTGTGTGTGTGTGTGGACAGGTAGTTAACGGCAGTGACTGGAATGAGTGTTTTCTAATGTGTGTTTTACGGAGGAAAAGAGGTGAATGTAACATTTGAATAGTGCGGGGCGTTGCTGGGATAGTCTCTCGCCGTGTTACAGTGTAACTACTGTGCTCCGTGGCTGCTTGAAGCGGGTTATCACTCATTATCAGCCCTCACGCTGGCTGTGTGAAGCGGCTTCACCATCAGATCAGTGTAGACTAACTACCTTTTAATGCACGAGGACATTAACCCTTAAGAGCCCAGACCTATTTCTACTTTCATGAAAATTACGGGGGTCTTATATCAAATGAATCATATATAACCAAGTCTCTAAGTGTAAAGAGGCAGTGACACCAGTGTCACTGTGGGTCCTTAAGGGTTAATCTTCACGGGGTGCATCGCAGTAAGTCACCGCAAACTGAGTATGAGAGGAAAACCGGTTTGGTTAGATTTCTTTTTTTTTAAAATTTATCCATATCTTACATCTGCCCTTACATTTTGAGTACTCTGCTATTGTGCGAGGTCATCTTCAGTGAAATGTGTCTGTCTCCAATGCAGATGAGCCATTACCTTTCTATGAAGTTTTGGTGGGGGTGCTGTCAGCAAGACATCATTATGAACTGCGACAGGCGATAAGAGAGACCTGGCTGGGATACCTCAGACACCACCTCCACTTCCAGCACAGGTCAGCAGGCTAGACCTTCAACTTCACTGCTTTTCTGTTTGTTTTGATTTGTCTTGCCTTTCTTTTTCTCACCAGTCAAATTCATATAGTAGGGAGAAAGGGAGGGGGGATGAAGCCAGCAGCAGCTGGCAGCAAATAACTGACAGCCCCATCAAGCCTTTTATCTTTACCTGACCAGCGGCCAATATTGTTCTCTTTCATTCTTCCTCTTTGTCCATTTCCTTCTCATTGAGCGATCCGAGTACAGATAAGGTGTGATGGCCTTTAAGCAACCCCCCGGTAACCATGGCAACGCCGGGTGGATAGATGGACAAGCTTTAGAAATCTTGTAGCCGAATATTGCACAAACTGGGGGGTATGTCACAGTGCTTGTGTTGTTACATATTTTTTGTTGTTTTCTCTCATCCAGAGTGGGGGTGAAGTTTATCGTGGGGGAACATGGGTGTCCTATACCAGAGGAGGACCGAGAAGATCCTTACTCCTGCTCCCTCCTGAACTTCACCGAGCCAGGTAAAAGGGGGGGGGGGGGGAAGAAAGGCAAAAGAGGGGCGAGGCATCTGACTGCAGCTCTAATTCTCTCGGCAATCTGTTGCTTGCGTGCACGGTCGTCAAAGGGGAGTGGAGGCAGGATAACAGCAGAGGAGTCGAGAGAATGAGAAGAATGGCTGTTGAGAAAAAGAGTGAAACACCTTTTTATTCATGTGTTCCCACAGCTCAAGGACAACTTTCTCTTCCTTTTGTATATCTAAGGCCAAAGCAGAAATGTTCACTGCTGCTGCAGGGCTTAGGGAAGAGGAGGTGGGGTAACTAGAACTGCTTAACACTTAGAAAAGTAGAGCTGCACAAAGAGCAGACACTATATGAAATAATTTAACTCCTTCGCAGTCAGTTTTGAACATCGGCAGTAATTGTTAACGTCTGTCGCCTTCGCTGATCTCGTCCACTTGAGCCGGCTTTCTCCACTTTTACTGTCGTTAAGCTGCCTTCATGGAAACATAATTACAGCTCATCAGAATGGGCTTTTCACACAGTGGCCTTTGGGGTCATGGCAATGCGTTACATAGATATATTTATTTATTTTTTTGTTCCCCAGCCCTTTCTCTTGCCCTC